TATCAGAAGACACGAGGGTGAAATTCTATTTATTATCAAAAATCACTCTTCATTAGTTTTCACTGAAAAATGCACATCCCTGAACACTGTACTGCCATTGGACTTGCATTGCAGCGATGTAATAGCATTGTGACGTCATCAAGTTTATGACGTCATAGCCTTAAGAGTGATGCAATTGATGATGCCAGGGCATTGCACAAAATCTACTGGCAAAACGATATCTACTAGGAGATAGCGTTTGCTCTTACACAAGCAATATCCCCAGTGGAACAAAGTTGTGGATGATAAAACCTCACTCACTCACTCACTCACTCACTCACTCCAAGAGTCCTTTCTAACTTGGGAGCCCAGCGGGGCTCATTTCAAGCAGATTGATAACAAACACATGAATACACCAACAATATTTTACTAGAATATTAACTAGTACATATTCGCAATGCATATCACACCAAGTCTAACAAGTTGTATAGCAATCATCAAAAACAGCTGGACAGTTATTGAAGGATGGCAAGTACAAGGTACCCAGATTCAACCTGTCAACGTTTCATGGCATAAAAATAAAGGATCTGAGGTGAAATACCCCTCCATCAAAGTACGTAAATCATTACAAATCGAGGTACGCCAATCGATACGTCATGACGTCAACTTGGCGTTATCTAAAATACAAGGATATGATGTAACAAATCTCAATTACTCTATCATCACAATACGTCAATCTGTACCAATCGTGATATGTCCAATCATACGTCATGACATCAACTTGACGTTACCTTAAATAAAATAATGTGATGTGACAAATATCAATTACTCTATCATCACAATACGTCAGTCTGTACCGATTAAGATATGTCCAATCGTACGTCATCACGTCCACTTGACGTTATCGGAAAATAAATGGATGTGATATGACAAATATCGGTGACTTCATCACAATACGTCAATCCGTACCAATTAGGATATGTCCAATCGTACGTCATGACGTCAACTTTCGAAAAATAAAAGGATGTGATGTGACATGTATCGGTTAGTTCTTCATCAAAGTACGTCAGTACGTCCCAATTAAGCTACGTCAATCGTCATCTAAGAGTTTCGATATTGATTTTTGTACCGTTGTGAAGCAGGGTACAAGAATCTGTATCGAAACGTCTCACCTACAAAATAAAATAAGCTGTTATTAAGTGAGTCTGTCATTATTGCACTTCCCAACGTCTAAAATGCCACTGAAAGCAGATGGACAGCATTAATGGAAACTGAGATCACGACAGACTGACTGACTGAGTTTGGTTTTACGCCGCTTTTAGCAATATTCCAGCAACATCACGGCGGGGGACACCAGAAATGGGCTTCACACATTGTACCCATGTGGGGATTCGAACCCGGGTCTTCGGCGTGACGAGCCCACGCTTTAACCATTAGGCTACCCCACCGCCCCTGAGATCAAGAGGAAAGGGTGGTCATATGGGTTACGTCAGTGAATGAAGACTAAGGTCTCATTAAATGGTTGTCCAGTACTTCAGCTTTCAAAAGATCCGTAAAAACATAAGTACTTATAGCTGTGTATACTTCCGTCTGTCTCATCAATAAACCTGACATAGATATTGATTCTCGATAATATATAGTTTAATGAATGAATTCAACTGGACAGTTTTCCAGCAACACCGCATTACAGTTAAACAGATAAAATGGTCAACCAGGACGAATGTCTAGCCGCTGTTAAAAATGTTTCCTAACACCACAGTTAGCAGTGGCCTATCGTGTCAGGACTTGACAATCCAGTGATCGATATTATGAGCAACGATCCACGCCGTTGGGTCACGTTGACATGCCATCAACCATGTCGTCGATCCTGATCTCTTGACCTGTAAGTTGCCTCGTCACCCACGGAGCTTATTCTAACCAAAATCCCCATGACCTCCAAACTGTTGTTGCCACACTGACAGTCAACAGCTCACAAAACAATAGTTATTGCATCAGTTAGGTCACTATAACTATATTTTACAATTACTTATAACTTCTCATCTGAGTGTATATATTGAAAGGCTGAAACAAACGCCAGCGTAGTCTATAACAATACCTTTTTAACGAGACTCCGTTAATCCGGACACTTTCTAATGGTTACGTCCGGATTAACGAATACATGTATGAAGCTTCCCTCTGTATATATACAAAATAGGCAGGTTTTCGGATTATCCAGTGTTCGGACTGAAAACATAATCGCTATTGGCAGGGATCCAGATTAACGAGTGCAGACCGACCATCTCTTTAAGCACATTGTACTAAACACATTGCCCATGACCATTTGATTTACCAGCCATCAACGCGGGATATTACGAGTTCCGATTACCGTATTCCCACCAAAAATATTATTTCCAATGTCACCTTCAGTCGGATTCGAACTGGAATTTTCAGAAAAAAATAATATGAGGCGTTCATATATCCTGGATTCAAAACTCACATCGCCAACACCTGTCCATCTTTTGCAAAACATTAATTCAGATATACAATATGAAATGAAATAGTATATGTCTTTACAATAACGATGAAAATACAAAACAATATACAGTTATAAAAAAAATCGAATAATCCAAACAACAAAATAAGGATGGATTGGTTGCACATAAACAGCACAGTACCACAACCGTTTGTCTGTTCTCTTACTTTACATCTATCACAGGCATGTTGGACACATATAGAAAAGGTAGTTTGTTCTCCTCCATCTGGTCACGTGCGTCAATTTCAACCCCGTGCGTCGTTTTTCAACACTGTCCGTCGTTTTTCCGAATTTTCAACAGGCGTAACGTCAACGTGCTTTGCCATAATTTCACGTTAGAACGTCGCGTCTTGGAAAACTGACCATAACGACCAGAACATTATATTGTGTTATGGTCTAACATCTCTATGTTTCATAGAACGATATTTTGTCCTGATTTAGATCTAGAAGTGATTCCGCAAATGGAACCCTAGTCTTTTTCGGGTGGGATTTCTGGATGTGATCTCCGTTCAAGCGGTTTTGTTGCATCGTTCCTGTAGTCCTTTATGGGGGAAAACAATGGAAGAAAATTCAAATGAAACATTTACGGAAATAAAAACACTTTTTAAATTATTACACCAACAAACAACTTAACTAAAATTGTATCTTTCATTTTTAACATGCCGATGTTATATTAGAACAAAGTATTTGAAACATGTATTTAAATCCGGATATTACGAAGGTATTAATTCACGATGTATCGATTTCGCTTCAAAAATATATATATCAGTACGTATTTAATATCATGTTTGTAATTACGAATTCAAAATGTCTTATTATCTGTTTTGTGAAAGCTGATATGTCCAACCTGAAGGTGCAAATTAAAACCACATTCATGTACGTACGTCACAAAGAATGACGTCAGAGTTCCGCAGTAAGATACGACATCGACGTGTTTGGTAAGAAGCAATGCTCAAAAGTCAGATTCTATCAATTTCATTTCCGGAAAGTTAAATGGTAACACGAATGCTTCGGATTATGATTATGATTATATTAGTGATGCACGCCAATGAATGAGGCTAGAATTAAGATGGTTAACATTACGTTATAAATCCAATTTCGTTATACCCTGTTAACGGTTAATATATATGACTCGAGAATTAGTACTAAAACATAATAAAATTCCATTTGGCCATAACTAAACCATGCAAATTACGAAATGAATACAGAAATATGTAATAAAACATACATGGGTTTCCTTTACAGAATTGTATCACTTTGGGACACTTTTAGCTGAAAATGTGATAAAATAAAAGCAACAAAACCATGGTGTATGATCCCCAGGGAGTTGAGATTGATAATACGATGTGCCGCTTGAGATTGACATCCAATGATCGAGGGAAAAACAAAGCGTCTTTGGGCAGCTCAGCTGGATATTGACGCTATACAAATATTATTAGCATAATAATAACTATAATAATGTACATTTACATAATCGTACAAAAGGCTCTGCTACAACACAAAGTCCATTGTATGTTTCCGTCTTTATCGTGTCGGTGAATCAGTATCCAATAGCAACGATACCAGGTGTTGGCGAAAAGGTAACCCCGTCACGTGCAAAGCCAACACGGGGACAAACTGTTCCAGTCTAAACAGGGATTTGTTTTTCTTCACACTACATATTTGTCATTGATTTGTTACATTTATGGGGGCGGTGGGGTAGCCTTGTGGTTAAAGCGTTCACCCGTCACGCCGAAGACCCGGGTTCGATTCCCCACATGGGTACAATGTGTGAAGCCCATTTCTGGTGCCCCCCGCCGTGATATTACTTGAATATTGCTAAAAGCGGCGTGAAACCATTCTCACTTGTTAATTTTTCTAATGGTTTTACATGATTAGCGCAGTACTTTGAATTTTTTTTAGGACAGAATAATTTGTAAACTCTGATAAAAATACGTTTTGAAACAAATAAATGACTTTTGCGTCGGACGATCGTCTTTGAAATCAGTGCACAAAGAGAATACTCGATTGTACTTAAAAGTTGTGAAATAACAGCTGACGCGCTATTCACAACCTAATCCAAGTCACTTACGAAATATTCCGAAGATTTGTCGGGCTGGGACACCGGGTGTCTAAGTGCGAGGATGCGATACATAAGTAAATGTATTATCCCCAACATAATGATACCTCTTGTATTCCAAACACAAAGTTTCAAAATGTTCCCTGAAAGCATGTGTTGTTTGTTCAGGAAATTGTGTTGTATGAAGTAGTGATCTTATTCTTAAAGATGATTACAGTCAACTACCGTTCGGTTCAGTGAAAGTTAAAGCTTGGTCCCTGCGCATTCATATTTAGTCATCATATAATATTTGTGTGAAACATCGGATAACTCGAAGTAGTTACCTAAGTCTCTGCAGTTTCATATACTGTTCTAAAGAAATTAAAGAACACCGTTCATTTCATATTTCTACATAGAGTGCGAAATACTTTCCAAATTTTGATAGTGACTGTGTAGATTTACTGGCCCGACTGGAGTTTTACTTACCACGGGCTAGCGGGCCAGTGGCTATTTCGCACACTGTTTCTACCATCCGTCATGGAATTGCTTTCTCATGGGACTATATTTAATATGTATAGTATGTATAACAACATTTCTTCAAACTGAATGATAGAAAAACCAAAACAGAAGATGACATTGAAAACCATTTGTAATGTTTGTTGTTAAGAACAGAACAAAATAAACTATGAGGTTAAATACACCGCTCCCAAATAAACCACACATATAGTAACACGCACAGTAAAACACCCATACATTTGAACCCAAAACCTTGATAAGAAGTATACCTGTATTCTAATCCTGAAAGGTGAAAGAATACATATACTAGGACGTAAATACATAGCAATAACAATACATATCTACATTTTATAATATTCCATAGAAACTTACAGCAGTGTGAATTATGCATATGTAATCTAAATATCGTCCGAACAATATGCTATAGAATACTTTGAATATTTCCCTATCTACACATCATTATCTTAATTCAAAATATCGTACACTTGACTATCACAACCATTGAATCGTTTCTGGATTGGATTGGAACCCAAAAAGATACATAACAATGCTTTTCACAAATCGTAAAAATATCATTTCTACAACTCTGACATATTTATGTTAGCATCCATTTTGGAAATAATTCTTCCATGATTAATACATTGCATTTGATTGATCAACCATGTATCCAAATGTCTAGTTCATCATGTGATAACATTTATTTGCACAACCAGATTGTAACTTTGATTTAAAATCTCAGTCTTCAACCGGCTTTCCACAATGCTTGCAAATCATGTGGATGCCATTTTGGCTTTGAGAGACGCCTTCAGCATGCTCTTTCACTGCATTCCCAAGCTTCAACTCGGCATCACATCCATTTTCCTCCACACTGTCGGATCTAAACAGCCCTGACTGGGTATCACTGTCGTAAGAAGATGTTTCCAGAATTTCATCAATTTTGGAATCAAGAGAACCTTGCTTGAAGCGACCAGGGGACCTCCTGATTGCAAACAGGTTGCAATCCAAGCTCTGTTGTTTTGTTTGGTCTTTGAGTTTCATGCGGCGGCGAGGCGATAGCATTATCGTCTTGCCGTTAAAATCTCCTCGACTCAGCTCCTTGGCAAACTCAACAATGATGTTGTTGTTGTCGAAGATGGCGGCAAAACTCCCATTGATAAACTTGGGTGACATGGGGACATTGCTTAAGATCAGACTCATACCAAAATCCTTTCTCTTTATGCTCGGCACTCGCATAATTACCTGGCGTTTCTCGGGGACAGCGGTTTCTAATATCTCCTTTTTCACCTCCGGAACCTTTTGAACAAAGACATGTTTAGGAATTCATATTTTACTCTCTGACATGATCAATAATAAAAAGGAGAAACCATGTATACAGTGGACATGAAACCTAGTACCTTTATGACAAGAAAAGCTTCAAAACCATTTCATAATCGTAGGAAATCCGGATCCATTCCTCAAAGAAGAGTCCAATGCTCGTTTCTGATTGCCCGTACATCATAGTCATGTGTTTATGAACCGTCACGTCTCGAGGAATTACGTTGGGTATCTACTTTTTAGACTGATGCCTCAAAATTGGAAAATAAACGCTAAAGGCGGTACTGGCGTCTTTATGAGTGAGTGAGTGAGTTTAGTTTTACGCGGCACTCAGCAATATTCCAGCTATATGGCGGCGGTGTGTAAATAATCGAGTCTGGACCAGACAATCCAGTGATTGACATCATGAGTATCGATCTGCGCAATTGGGATACGATGACATGTGTCAACCAAGTCAGCGAGCCTGACCACCCGATCCTGTTAGTCGCCTCTTACGACAAGCATGGGTTACTAAAGGTTCATTCTATCCCGGACCTTCACGGGTCGGCGTCTTGATGAGAAAATTTTGGACATTCCTGTCTACTTGCCTTCAAAAGATATTTATGTACAATTTCCTTCCAAATGAGACTATCCAGGAAATATTTCAATATTTCAAAACCCTAATTGTAAACCAAAAGTCACTGTGTTCTTTAATCTGATTGGTTGAAAAACGTGATCAAATGGTATTCGATTCCCGGAAATTCGCTGCGTATTAATACATACAAACATCGCTCACACCATTGTATTGGTACGTCGTCAGCTGTGATGACGTCATTCAAATCATATTGTGACGTAAAGTCCGAATGACGTCACAAATGAGCAGTTCCAGATGCTACCATGAGAGACAGCCGAAACGGCCGGTTGATGACATTTCACTGCTGTACCCGTACACGATGTCAATGAGTGCAGACAAGCGTGGACCTTTTGGTTTACTTTTGTGTTTACAATGTCGATAAACATCATGTGTTGGCCAATTTCCGGGTGTTATTGAGTATTTGAAGCATGGGAATATTCCATTTGAAACCTCCGGCTGACGCCGTCGGTTCCAAATGAATTCCCGTGCTCGAGATGTTATATCGAGACAACCGAGATATCGAGTTATCAGAGTCCGACACAACGGTGCTCGACTGTATATAGATAGGGACCAATCATTTTGTGTTTTCAGATCTGGATGTATTTTCATACATTATGTACCTGATCTAATCAAATAAAGGTTAAAACATAACGGTACTTAAGTTTCTCTGTTCTCTGAGAGAGAATCCTTGGTGTATAATGTTCCTTCATTTTGAGGGAAAAGTAACATTACAATTACTCTTTCCATGATGAAAACAGTATCCGCCGAAACCATTCTACAATTCCGACAATATATTGAGCCAGTGTTTATCAATCTCTATCAAGTGGGGACGACACCCTGTGTTCGCGAAAAGGTTTGGAATGGAATATAGGATCTACACTTTCTGGAAACATTACCTGCCTGCATCAATGTCATCGCGACTTTCTGGTGCACTGTACATGTATTCTTTAACGACATCAATATCAGCGCGATTTCTAAGGGGAAATAACTCTTTACAAATACCTCATCCTCGTCGGCTAATACTCTGGTGGCGGTGTCCCTAATGGTAACCCAGTCCCGCTCGAGGTCATCATCAGTTGTGTACTGTGACGTCACGGTGAATCTTATGACGTATTTGTCCTTCAATGCTGCTGGCACCATGTGGAGTCTACCAGATTTGTTTAACCGCTTCAACAGTGCCTCTGTGTTGTCGTTGTCGTCCTGGAAGGTAAACGTTAGTGAGTGAGTGAGGACATGCTCATGCTGTTGATCACTGGATTATCGGGTCCAGACTCGATTATTTACAGACTGCCGCCATTTAGCTGGAATATTGGTGAGTGCGGCGTAAAACAACAAACATCCAACCAAGCCTTAGTAACCGACCATTAGATTTCTTAGTGGTTCGGGGGAGTGGGGTGGTGGTGGAGCGATTTGGGGTAAGAGTGAGTGAGTGAGTTTACGCCGCACTCAGCAATGTTCAAGCTATATGGCGGCGGTCTGTAAATTATCGAGTCTGGACCAGACAATCCAGTGATCAACATCATGAGCATCGATCTACGCAATTGGGAACCGATGACATGTGTCTACCAAGTCAGCAAGCCTGACCACCTGACCCCGTTAGTCGCCTCTTACGACAAGCATGGGTTACTGAAGATCAATATTCTAACCCGGATCTTCACGGGTACTTGGGGTAAGAGCTTTGATTGAGTGCAGATCCTCAGCTCAACATCAGCTGCGCAAAGAGATATTTTTTCAATCACAACCACGAACCAATAGCTGGAATATTGCTGAGTGCGGCGTTAAACAACAAACCAATCACTGAGGTTCCATGTTCACAATTACTGCTCCCCATTCTCTCATCCCTTCGCGAGTTTTCCACGCCAGGCTTATCGGAAAACAAACTTCACCAATTTAAACCAAGGTTTATTCTGCTTGCTTGAAAGATGTGAAGATGCAGATAAACGGCTATCAACATATTTCACACACATCAGTCAAATCGGTTGCAGCTAGCAGAATTGATGATGCGCCATTGACAAGAACGAGGGTTTATTGGTAAGACGGTGTGAGGAAAGAGCACAAAGAAGAACCGCCAGCATCATTATCCTATCACACTCTGCTTCATCTGTAATGACATGTATATACAAACGAGGGCTTTAACAGTTACTCACACATCAAAAGTCGCGGCTTCTGACGTTCATTAAACCATGTTATCCGAGAGTCTCCAGAACGAACCAAGGAGCTTGTTTCAAAGGTTACGCTCGACAAAGCTTCCAATATAAGTAGCTTAAAGCCTATTGGCTGCTATAGGGAGCTTTTGTAAGCAGCTTGACGATACCTTTATAATTATTAATTATTCATAAAGCTTATTCCTTGTATCGTCAATCATTCGTTCAAAGAACAAGTTTATGATCTTCACGCCACCTTAACTTGAGCAGTAATTTTGGTAATTGTTTTCATCGTCAGTAGCTGAGGTTTATGAAAGTATTTTCATATCATTCTGTTCATAGTTTCTACAGACCGCCTCCGTGGTGTAGTGGTGAGAGCGTCCGCCCGGAGAGCGGAAGGTTGCGGGTTCGGGTTCGACCGCGTCATACCAAAAGACGTAAAAATATGGTACTTGTTGGTCCCTGCCTGGCGCTCGGCATTAATGGATACATCAAGGACTGGTCAGCTCAGAGTCAGTATAATGTGTCTGAGTGGGGTATTCATGCTTCACTGCGGAATGGTATCTCAGTGGGCTAGCACTATAAAACCAGCTTAAGTCTGGGCTAGTACAAGCAGCCACACATACACATACACACGCATACACGTCGTCATATGAGCGAAATATTCTCAAGCATGACGTTAAACCCAATTTTACCTCACCTCATAGTTTCTACAGGGGTGTGGTAAGCCTGGTGGTTAGAGCGTTGTCTCGTCACGCCAGCTTTAGGACATCAGCCTTTTGATAATCTGGGCAGGTGGTTGATGTGGTGCGCAGAAAGCCACACCTTAGGGGTACGACGACACTCCATCAACTAACTCCTGACCTCCCCTTCCAGTAGGACTAGTCTTAAGGCCGATCTGGGTTCCTACGGATCAGGGGCGGTGGGGTAGCCTAGTGGATAATGCGTTCGCTCGTCGCCCTGAAGACCCGGGTTCGATTCCCCACATGGGTACAATGTGTGAAGCTCATTTCTGGTGTCCCCCGCCGTGATATTGGTCAAATATTGCTAAAATCGGCGTGAAACTAAACTCACTCACTCATTCACTCACTGCCACAATGTACTGCACGCCAACTCACCCTCAAACAGAAGACTACCATGCCAAGGACTCGCTCTGCTGGAACTTCGAACCTTTCGTCGTTTCTCACCATCATTTCAAACTTCTTTGCCAATCTCACACCCTGAAAGAAACATCATGTCCTTAAAATGAACCCACAAGGATCATTCGTATTCTCTCGGCTATTTCCGTTGACTCGTCGGACAACAATGGAGTAACGTAGTTTTGGTGTAAACCGAATGTTCCATCGGTATAAAGTTAAAAAAACATAGCAGGTTTTGTAAACAAACATTTATGCTTAGGTATGTTACGCAATAATAGTACGGTCCCGAGTGCCTAAAAGTCGTGTTGTGTAATCTGATAGTCACTTGAACAGGTGAAATTACTTATTGCCGATAGAAGGGATAATAGTAGTAGGAGTAGTAGTAGTATTGGTGGTGACGGTGGTGCTGGTTGTAGTCGTAGTAGTAGTAGTAGCAGTAGTAGTGGTGGTGGTGGTGGTGGTAATAGTAGTAGTTGTTGTTGTGGTGGTGGTGGCGGTGGTGCTGGTTGTAGTAGTAGTAGTAGTAGTAGAAGCAGTAGTAGTAGTAGTAGTAGTAGTGGTGGTGGTGGTAATAGTAGTAGTTGTTGCTGTGGTGGTGGTGGTGATGGTAGTAATAGCAGCAGCAGTAGTGGTAGTAGTAGTGGTAGTGGCAGCAGCGGTGGTGGTAATGGTAGTGAGTGAGTGGTAGGTAGCGGCGAGTAGTAGTGATGGTAGCAGTGAAGTAGTAGCGAGTGTAGTAGTAGTGGTAGTAGTGGTGGCAGTGGTAGTGGTGGTGAGTAGTAGTGGTGGTGAGTGGTGGTGCAGCAGTAGTGGTGGTAGTGGTGGTAGCGGTGGTGGTGGTGGTGGCGGTAGTGGTAGCGGTGGTGGTAGTGGTGGTGGTGGTAGTAGTGGTGGTGGTGGTGAGTAGTGGTGGCGGTAGTGGTAGCGGAGTGGTGGCAGTGGTAGTGAGTGGCGGTAGTGAGTAGTGGTGGTGACAGTGGTAGCGAGCGGTGGTAGTAGTGGTAGTGGTGGTAGTGGTAGCGGCAGTGGTAGTAGCGGTAGTAGTAGTGGCAGTAGTGGTAGCAGTAAAGTGGCAGTGGTAGTGGTGGTGGTAAGTGGTGGTGGTGGCGGTGGTAGTGGTGGTGGTAGTAGTGGTGGTGGTGGTAGGTGGTGGTAGCAGTGGTAGTGGCAGTGATGATTGGTAACGGTAGCGGTAGCAGTGGTGGGTGGTGGTAGTGGCAGTATTGGTGGTAGTAGTAGCGGTAGTGGTAGCAGTAGTAGTGGTAGTAGCGGTGGTAGCAGTAGTAGTAGTAGCAGTAGTGGTGGTAGTAGCAGCAGCAGTAGTAGCAGTAGTAGTAGTAGTAGTAGCAGTAGTAGTAGTAGCAGTAGCAGCAGCAGCAGTAGCGGTAGCAGCAGTAGTAGCAGTGAGCAGCAGTAGTAGTAGTAGTGAGTAGTAGCAGCAGCAGTAGCAGCAGTAGTAGCAGCAGTAGTGCAGTGGCAGCAGCAGCAGTAGCAGCAGCAGTAGTAAGTAGCAGTAGCAGTAGCAGCAGCAGTAGTAGCAGTAGCAGTAGTAGCAGCAGTAGCAGCAGCAGTAGTAGTAGCAGCAGTAGTAGTAGCAGCAGTAGCAGTAGTAGTATAGCAGTAGCAGCAGTAGCAGTAGTAGTAGCAGTAGCAGTAGTAGCAGTAGTAGTAGTAGTAGCAGTAGTAGTAGTAATCATGGTAGTAGGAGTGTTCGTATTACTAGAAGTCACGTCGAGTACCTGGGTTCAATTCCGCATAATTGTACAATGTGTGACGTCCATTTCTTGAAACCATATTGACACATTAGTAGGCGTTGTAGTCGTAATGGCAGAAGTGGTAGTAAAATACATACAGTAGTTGTGGTAGTAATGGTGGTCGTTGTTGTAAAAGAGAGTAAAAATACACAAGAAGCCGTGATATGAAAAAAGTAGAACATTGCCAATATACAAGGCTGCCGAGGGTCTTTCATATTAAACGGCGAGCATATTCTTGTCGATGTCTAGAAACGTTTCTGTGAACTGTAGAACAACACTATTGATAAAACGGCGAAACATGGCCCATCCATAGCTCGGTCAATATACTTCTGTTTTATTAAAAAAAATGTTCCTCGCGTATATTCAATGTCGAAAGCTTTTGAGAGCCGTCTGCTGAAGCTAGACAGTCACGTGACTTACATGGCGGACATGTTTGCGAATACCCTCCACGCCAAACATCCTGAGAACAAACCACAGCTTGAGAGCTCGAAACCGCTTACTGAGGGGAACTTGCCAATGCTGAAATATGAAAAATTAATGATTATTTTTGCATTTTTTACGCTAACATTTTTACAGGTTTAGTTTTCCAGAAATTCGAAAGGTTACTGTATTTGAATTGCCTCTGCTTTCGACAAGCTGTTTCATATATGAATTATTACGATTTTCATGAAATTAAGTTAACATTTTTTAAAAAGAAATTTAATCAAAACTGCAAAGAAATTACTAAGAGAACCATAGAACCCTAGGGAGTGTGAACGTAGATCAATACCCATCGGTATTGTACACATATACTCAAGGAAAGAAATAGAGGAACACTTATAAAGGGGTTGAATGTGTGGATACTTCGCGGCACCGCGAAGAATAGGAGGCAGTTTTCTGCAAAATAACGGACACAAGGGACAAAGATATTTTAAACGTTTTCGTTTACATGGATTTATTTATTTTATTCATTTCTGTTTCGTTGATACTTTTTTCGGACCCCTTGTGATTCTTAGTCTTTTGGGTTTGAAGTAAAGTGCCTTGCAAAAGAAAGTACACACTGGGCAAATAGATTTGACCAAAAGCCTGGAAAAAGTCGATGAAGCACGGTGAACGTAAGGTCCAAAACACCCTATGATAATCATGCATCTTTATCAGGCCCAACAAGAAAACTTCGCCACTGTGCAGAAAAACGCATAATAATAAACATAATACCTCGATACTGAAATAGTCAAAACGGCAACTTCAAATCGCTAAAACTGCAAAAAAAACGAAGAACCTGCAACTTCGATTTTGCGCATGCGCACATGGAAGAGGAAGTCTCGACCACATGTTGACATTTTCCAGCTTGGACAAAAGTTACATTCCCTTTTTAAGTATTTCTGTTGTGTTATTTATCATCCTGATACTTGTGTGAACACTTGTTTAGTTTACTTTCCATTCGTATGAAATGATTGACAGCAATTATTTCGACATATTTAATACTTTTTCTACGCGAGGCGATGCACGGTTGCTCGGAAATTGGAAAGAAGCGCGGATCGTAATGCGCATGCACAGTAGTGGTCAAAGTTCGCTGATATAAAAATGTTGCAGTTTCATAGTCTTTCGTTGCGGTTTTTATTGCTTCAGTGGCGAGGTATTATGTTTATGTTGCCATTTCCACGATTAATGTGGGCTTTTCTGCGTTTTTCTGCACAGTGGGAAAGTTTTCTTTGGTAGGCCTGATTATGGAGTAGACATTTCTTAGTTGTTTCATTTTTATCCGACATCGAATCTTTAACCACATTGGGTTCTTTCTTTTGCTCGGTAGTGTATTTTAGCTTGTGTTTACCATATAGTCGATTGCAGCACCTGGAAACAAAGAAAACCATTGATAATGCAGTTCTTGAAGTATAAGGAAAACAATACGATGCATTTTGGACATTGAATGATAACGGAAGTTTTAATTACAGTGAGTGAGTGAGTTTAGTTTTACGCCGCTTTTAGCAATATTCCAGCAATGGGAGACCAGAAATGGGTTTCACGCATTGTACCCATGTGGGGAATCGAACCCGGGTCTTGGACGTGACAAGCCAACGCTTTAATCACTAGGCTACCCCACCGCCCTTAATAATTACAATACACTTTGACATTTTATTTTTTCAGTGAAGGAAGCAATGAGTGTTATATCTTATATCGCTTTGATTGTTTGTTTGTTTGTTTGTTTGTTTGGTGCACTCAGCAACATACAAACTACATGAAGACGACAAAAAACAATCGAAACTAGGCCAGACAAACCAGGGATTGATGTTGTGAGCACCGTCCATGCTATCGGGACACTACCCTGACCAGCAATAGAGCACTGTGGACCACTCGCACTGGAAACCCCAATTGACTCTGGGCGTTGGGGTAGCCTAGTGGTTAAGGCGCTCGCCCGTCACGCCAAACATCCGGGTTCGATTCCCCACATGGGCACAATGTGTGAAGCCAATTTCCGGTGTCCCCCGACGTGATATTGCTGGAATATTGATAAAAGCGGCGTAAGACCATACTCACTCATTCACTCCCTATTGACTCTAGCTAAGTGAGTGAGTGTGGTTTTACGCCGTTTTTATCAATAGTCCAGCAATATCACGGCGGGGGACACCAGAAATGGGCCTCACACATTGTAACCATGTGGGGAATCGAACCCGGGTCTTCAGCGTGACGAGCGGACGCATTAACCACTAGGCTTCCCCACAGCCCACTCTGCCTTAGTGTGACTGAAGGTGAAATCTGGTTAACGATCTCGATAAATGATAGCACCATGTTAGGCCAATGAAATACCACACCACAATTTAACACGGATACTCCACGAGATACTGACATCGAGCCGTTGGTTCTCGTGTTATCAGTCTGAAATCGCGCGAAAGGCACATTTAACGTTTAGTGTTTGACACTACCGGTCAATCAGCTCTCTGGACAGAGGACTATCTGTCCAGTGTCCATTAGACCATGGAGTGGAACTGCTATAGATTCAGTAAGTTGGACATAAGTAATCTGTAATTTGTTTGTTTGTTGTTGGTTGTTTAACGCCACACTCAGCAATATTTCAGCAATATTACAGTGGTCGGAAAATAATCCAGAAAACCAGTGATTGACATCATGAGCATCGAATGACGCAACTGAGATGCAATACATCAACCAAGTCAGCGAGCCTGACCACCCGATCCAATTAGTCGCCTCTTCCGACAAGCAAGCCCGGATCTTCACGAGTCGCAAACACTGAGTAAAACCCATTGGTAAAACAGCCCTTCCCTCATGCGGCGTAGCGCATCCCAATCTTTGTCGCCTTTAGTAAGCTCTTTGAGCGAAACCATTCACAGCACACGATGCTCACAGGCGGACTGAGCCGGTTAGTCGCCTCTTCCGACAAGCATGGGTTACCAAAGATCAATTCTAACCCGGATCTTCACTCGTGTCATGATTGTCATGACGTTACTCTTGAATTCAACGTCGACATTAGATAAGTACCGATGGTACCTGCTTCCGTCACAACAGAACTAACTGGTGAACAGAAATCAGAAATTATCAAATCGTTTTAATTCGGATATCTATAAAACTGAAAAGCAATAAATATTATTGTAATGTAGCATACAGACATATTTCCAACAGCTGAGATGACGAAAGAAATCATTTATCCAAGATGTGTACCGCATAACATGTAAAACATGTTTCCTTCTCCAGGTTCCATTGAGTAACGTTAATCAACCAATCAAAACACAGGACACATTCGCATGTTACAACACACCATAAACCCACTTGTCACGGAGTTATCGACTGGCTCGCCTATCATCATGATATGAATTGGTGATAATGGCATCTCACACAAAAATACCCTAAGGACCCAGCATGCCCTTTAATCTTTAATCATGTTTAATCTTCCATGAAATCACAACAAAGATTAAAGCAAACTATCAGACACATTTAACAAGATTTGCTCCAAAAAACTTTCATTCTAACCCTCATATCATTAAATACAGTTTACGAGCTCCAGGACAACGCTGGTTTTTGAGCTCACCATGTCATGGTTTAAACAGCTAATGTTACAGATTAAACAAAAAGTGTCACGTTTTTCTATCGCTTTCTTTCGTATTTACATTGTGCACAAGCGTGAAGTTTCCTGGCGATTTCATGAGTTCATGCGTGTGATAAAATTCCGATTTCGTGTCAGAAGTTCGCTGATGCGTTTTCGTGACGACAGTGTTGTAAAACACGTCACACGCTGCGATGATTTGTCAGTGATTGGCTGTTTGAAATAAAATTGGGAATGGTTCTAGCTGAAACGAAATACATGTATCAGGAGTGTATTATTTTCATTTGAAATAAAATAAAGGTTAAACTATTGTTTTCGGGCCTGTCCAGACGGACATTTTTTCACTTATTGTTTAAACGCCTCCGTGGATGAAGCGTTGACGGGAGGTCGTACCTTCCTAAGGCGAGAGAGTTGACTATAAAAGTCCAATTTCCATCTTTGCTGAACTGGATTGGAATTTTGTGTTTCGATCAGAGGCTATTACGACAAATGCGAACCCGCGAAGATCCGAAGAATTGGTCTTCAGTAACCCATGCTTGTCGTAAGAGGCGACTAACGGGATCGGGTGGTCAGACTCGTTGGTTTAATTGATGCATGTCATCGTATCCAAATTGTGTAAATCGATGCTCATGATGTCAATCACTGGATTGTCTGGTCCAGACTCGATTATTTACACACCGCCGTCATGTAGCGGGAATATTGCTGAGTGCGGCGTTGAACAAACAACAAACAAACAAAAACGAGTTATGTCCCACCAATCACATTCCACCTATCACCTTACATAAACATTCGTTTCAAACGCACGAAATGGCGGAGATGTATGTCTGTTTGATAATCAAGATCGTTAATGCAATAAAACTGGTCTTACCTCGTCTAGTGCATCAACCTACTTGAACACCTTGATAAAAAACATGAAAAGATTTGGAAAAATTCTGAAGAAGCCCAGATGAAGGAAAATATGTTTTGCAAATACTTCTAGCGACGACAAACTGCAAGGCAGTTTTTATGTACCGGATGTCACTATCTTTACACGATTTTAGGGGAGGGGAGGGGAGGGAAGGCGTGGCGAGGTGAAATTGGGTTTAACGTCGTGCTTGAGAATATTTCGCTCATATGACGACGTGCATGCGTGTGTATGGGTATGTGCGGCTGCTTATACTAGCCCAGACTGAAGCTGGTTTTATAGTGCTAGCCCACTGAGATACCATATCATGAATACCCCACTCAGACACATTATACTGACTCCGAGCCGACAGTCCTTGTTGTACCCATTGATGCCGAGCGCCAGGAAGGTACCAACAAGTACCATATTTTAACGTCTTTTGGTATGACGCGGTCGGGGATCGAACCCGCGACCTTCCGCTCTCCGGGCGGACGCTCTAACCACTACACCACGGAGGCGGTCCTCCACATAAAGGGTTTCAAACAAGAACTGGTCGACTCGGCGACAATGGTCTGAGTGGGTATCATTGCTCCAGCTCGACACGGTATCGAGCAATAGTCAAAAGAAGTACAAGCGCACGCATCTGACCGCAAGTACCAGCACATGTTCATATAACAATATATTGTTGGTCACGCTAAAATATATGGAACAAGACGTATAAATTCTTGTTTGGTTTGACCTCTTTGCTAGTCGAAGGTGACGAAATTGGGAATCTGCTGGTATTCCATTTTAGAACAGGGGCTGTGGGGTAGCCTAGTGGTTGAAGCGTACGCTCGTCACGCCGAAGACTGTGGTTCGATTTCCGATGTGGGAACAATGTGTGAAGTCTATTTGTGGTGTCCAACATCGTCACACTGTAGGAATGGGGCTAAATGCGGCGTAAAAGCATACTCACTCACCCAAAGTTGGAATTACCACGCACGCACGCACGCACGCACGCACACGCCTGTCAAAAAGTTAACTACAACCCTGGACAAGAACTACCTGGGATATTTTGAAATAACGTCATCTTATGGGCATCCACCATTTATCCAAATACCAGCGCCTTGAGCATGCACCAGTTGTGTGGATATGTGCGCTATATAAATATACTATAATAAGTGGATCGGATGGTCGATGACTTGGTTAGTTGAAGGCGGGTCGTGAAAACCCGACAGCGTGGGTAGGTGTTCATGACATCAATCACTGGTATGGTCTAAATCGGATATTTACAGGCTATCGTTGCGCAGGTGCAGCGTATCTGACTATGACGTGAAACCACAAGCAAATAAACAAACAAGCTATTTACACTAAGATTCCGTCGATAACACATTGTGACGTACATCACACATCATACGTCATACGTACCCGAGTTTTCGTGTTTTAAGTACAGTGGTTCCACGTTGAATGTTCGATGTAATGCTCCGCTGTTTTTCACCCTGAAGAAAACATGTTTAAAATATCACACAACGGTAATTGCTAATCAGCTCTTTGATATTTAGAAATAATTAATAATCATAAGCATCATCATAATCATAAAGCCTGGTATCCCATACAAACCACACCTATAGATAGATTTTATCTTTATAAGTAAGTGAGTTAGTTGGGCATTGGTTTCATAAAATTGTACCCATGTGGGAATCGAACCCGGGCGTGTTGAGTGAATGCTTTATCCACAAGGCTACCCCTTCGCCCCGATAATTAATAACAGTGCAGTATACCTCATAACGCTAAGGGGCGGTGGGGTAGCCTAAAGGTTAAAGCGTTGGCTCGTCACGCCGAAGACCCGGGTTCGAATCCCCACATGGGCACAATGTGTGAAGCCCATTCCTGGTGTCCCCCGCCGTGATATTGCTGGAATATTGCTAAAAGCGGCGTAAAACCAAACTCACACAGTCAGTCAGTCAATAACGCTAAATTGAGTGTCTATTGTTTAACACCGCACCCCGCAATATTCCAGCTATATGGCGGCGGTCTGTAAATAATCGAGTCTCGATCACACAACCCAATGATCAACTGTATGAGCATCGATCTACGGATGATGTGAATAGGAATTTTGTTACAATGCCCTGGAAAAGGCTTCACAGAACATTTGCCATGAACGTTATCAAAACGTCTGTGGGCGTAAATAGTCGCCCACACGCTGAGACTTAATGCCGAACTTACCCGTATGAAGTAAGTTGAAATCGAATAAACCTGTTTGTTTTATTTCCATCATGTGTGGATAATGTATTCGTCTGTCGCCGCTTTCAAGAATATGTCATATACAACGACGTACATCAATAAAGTGAGTCACTGACACAATCGAACTGGACGTTTCAACTGGGTCACCTTACAACTTGCTACGATTCTGGACAGAGCGTGGCGTTTGCTGAAATATCTCTTTGAAATGATTGTAAGCCTCATTTTACCAATGTATGGGTACCACGGGGGATGAGAAGGCGATGAGAATACAAATGCCTAAACTGTAACTATTTATTTATTTATTTGTTTGTTTGTTTGTTTGTTTGTTTGTTTGTTTGTTTGTTTGTTTGTTTGTTTGTTTGTTTGTTTGTTTGTTTGTTTGTTTTTTTGTTTGTTTGTTTGTTTATTTATTTATTTATTTATTTCAAACCTCACCACATGGCTGTACAGTCGAAGTGCACCATCATCCATTTCGATGGGTTGAAAGCGAACGACTGCGCATAATCCACGCCTTCCATGTACTTCCGGTACTCTGGACAAACGAAAGCTGTCCCGGCGTACGCCGCATCGATATGCATCCACAATCCTTCCGCTTCACCTGCGAAAAAAATAGTCCGTTAGATATATATCAATATAATCTTGACAAACAAACGCAGGGCAGAGCACCCGGTACTCATTTGCATATTTTATTATTCCGCGTAATTATCGCGTCCATGTACATCTTTAATTCTTCCGCGGCACGAAAAAAGCCAACAAAAAGTCCGTTATTTCAGGACACTGGACAAACAAAGGCAATGGGAGTGTGCTGCATTTGTATGCAACTTTAATCATATCGCTTCGCCTAAAAATATCTCAGCCATAACATTTGGAATTCTGGTGAAACAAACGTACTCTCAGTTTACGCTGCATCGATCTTTCTGCCTCGCTCTCTAAAACATAGTCCCTTACTTCCGGAATTCTGGCCAAACGAAAGTAGTTCGGTGTCCGCTGCACCGAAGTGCAACTTAATCCTTCCACAATCAAAACATAGTCTATTACACAAACAGCATCATCAGTTACAGCTGAATCTAACACGGAGGGTATCTGGAAGAATCCCTTTTTTAACCGTTACCACGATAAACGACTCCGTCAACTTCAACGCTTAAGGCAATGATCTGATAGCGCGATTCACTTAGATATCGGCCTACCTAGATAAACCACGATCTGCTAGTAATTTGATCTGGATCCCAATTTCGAATTTCATTACCAATTTAGTCGTTGAAAGTTTCGCCACGAAAATAACCAAAGTGGTGGAAAAATCGAAATTTAAGCAGAATTTGATAGCTGTGTAAACGTCAATCACAGATACACCGCCTCACAGAATCTGTGATAACAATGTTATTAAGGCAGTTAATCGGAGGGATAGTGGCACAAGTATTTCTAGTGGACAGGGGAAGATGTCTTGAGAACGTGGCATTGATATTTAGCTTCAAAAAAATAGCAGGTGTCAGTTTTATTGTCTTAAAACACACATGCTTGTCATAGAAATTGACGACTCGCTTTTCTACGTCAAAGCTACTTTGATTTTTCTCGAAAATAGTAAACTCAACCCTACTCGAAATTGCACTTGGACGTTTTTTACGTCGTTTGAAGAGGAAAATAATTTGAAAACATAATTTGTAGTTGTAAAAAACAAATCAGTGAACTAATAGTATATCTTAATAAGTGTCCTACAATATTTCTTTTAAGAAAATAGAATAACAGCAATGTAAATTTTAAAACTGCTTCAGGAATAAAGATAGACGGTTATTACGCATTATTAAACCGATGCACACCTGCATGTTGGAATAGAATAGGAAGAAGTACACTTTGGGTATACCGAATGGCAGTTGAGATAGCAGGTGTGTGGATTGGTAAAATCAATATGGGTCTGGGTAGCCTATGATAATGGTTTAGTGACAAAATGGTGGTTGACATAACCGCGTTCGATTATCAAAATTTGAGTGAACTTATCTAAACGAGGTTACCACATTGTTACAACCCCATGCACAATGTGCACACTGCTGAAAGAAGTGTAAAATCACTCACTCGCTCATCCATCCATTCACTCACACACACACGCACACACACACACACACTTACTTATTCACTCACTCACCTACTCATTCACCCACCCATTCAATCACTCACTCACCCCTCCACACACACACCTACACACACTCACTCACTCATCCATTCACCCACACACACAGACACACACACCCCACACACTCACTCACTCACTCACTCTCTCTCTCTCACACACACACACACACTCACTCACTCACTCACTCACATTGACTTTGGTTGTTGTTGATGTTGACCAGTTCTATCTTCTGGGTTGATCACAGTTACCCTACGTGCACCACTACGCCTACTCTGGTAAGATTTGTCAAGCAATGAACCACTGCCATGAGCTTTCATACCTGTGTGTCATAGAAAATCACGTGGCTGTTTCTCCTCCCCCTGGCGGGCATTTTGAATAGTCAGTGGGGTTGCATTTTATACATATCATTTACCCGCCACTGTCCTAAATTATACTTGGTTAACACTATTATAACGGGACTACCTCACACTTTAACTGGCTAGAGCGTCCGCCCAGAGAGCGGAAGGTCTCAGGTTCATCCCCGGTCGCGTCATACCACAATATGGTACTTGTTGGTCCCTGCCTGGCGCTCGGCATTAATGGCTACAACAAGGACCGGTCGGCTCGTAGTCGGTATAATGACTGTAATATTGGAGTTCGTCAAGGATGTGTTTTGAGTCCCTTCTTGTTCTCCATTTTTATAAACGATTTAGCTGATAGTATTGCATCGTTGTGTTATCCGGGCATACAGTTACATCCAGAATTAACTCAGTTGTTTCTCCTTCTATTTGCTGATGATGTCACTCTATTCTCTGACACCATCTATGGGCTACAAAAACGTATTAATGTCCTTGAACAGCATTGCAAGGAATAAAAGCTATATGCCAACTTAGATAAATCTAAAAATATTGTGTTTAGAAATGGTAGCATCCTTACTAAGCACGAAAAATGGTATCTAGGAGTGCGTTTCTTCATATAGATATTTGGGAATAGTATTTTCACAAACATTGCCATGGCATAAACATTTTGAGAGCTCTATTCTACAATCCAAAAAGGCTTTGTTCGGTATTTTGAAAAGTTTATAAAAATTTGAGCACATGAAATGTGATGTCTTCTTCAGAATTTTTGACACTAAAGTAATGCCTATTTTGCTTTATGGTGCCGAAGTATGGGGTTTAGACTGTGATTGTAATTCATCCATTGAAACAGTGCATACCCTAGCTTGTAAATACCTACTCTGTGTTAAACTATGTACCCCTAACCACGTTGTACGTGGCGAATGCGGGAGATACCCTATGTATATTTTTGCGTACAAACGCTGTATTATGTATTGGTACAAACTGTTAAATATGCCTTCTATACGTTTCCCTAAGATATGTTACAATTTATTACTGTTAGATGCTTCAAATTAACTGGACATCAAAATTAAAAAACTTATTGTATACAATGGGTTTTGGATACGTATGGGAAATTCAATTTATTCCTAATATAAACCTTTTTATTTCTGAATTCATATCTAGAGCCCAAAACACATATTTACAGGAAAGGCATTCCTCGTTGTCTAATGGCTCAAAAACTTACCTATATTCTCACTTTATTTTTGGTGTTGAGCCATATCTCCATTGCATAACTATCAAGAAATTTCGTATTGCCTTAGCGAGGTTCAGGTGTAGTTCACACCAACTGAATATAGAAACTGGTAGATATATAAAGAAACCAAAAACCAGAAAAAAGGTTGTGTGAAATGTGTGCCTGTAACTATGTAGAAAATGAGTACCACTTTTTACTGATTTGTACTGCCTATGATGATCTACGTAAACGTTTTATCCCTGTCGATGTTTTCACCCATCCAACCTTGTGTAAATTTAACCGACTGATGAGTAATGCTACTCCTCTTGTTTTAAGAAATCTTGCCATGTTCATCGTCTATGCTAACAATCGTCGTCGCCACAGCTTGAAGGCTGCCAATGTATAACGTTGTACCATGGGCCGATGACCTACATTCACATGACTAAAGACTAGAAATGATGTGTCTAAGTGGGGTATTCATGCTTAACTGCGGCATGGTATCTCGGTGAGCTAGCACTATAAAACCATCTTAAGTCTTGGCTGGTACAAGCAACCACACATACACGCGCATGCACGTCGTAATATGAGCGAAATAATCTTAAGTGCGACGTGAAATCCAATTTCACCTCACCTCACCTTTATCTCACCTTTATCTCACCTTATAAATTCACACATACACAACCAAACGAACACGCCCATTAACACCCAAATACAGAGATACCTCGAAACGTTAAAATATCTTCATGGAAAGATTCAGAGGATTGCTTACATTTCGCTTCACTGTTAACTCTGTACCTAAATTAATTTACATGGAGATATCATTACTGTATATTTATAAACCATTTGTCTGTATGCGTGTATTCTTATTTCTATGTTGTTTGGTGCGGTGGGGTAACCTAGTGGTTAAAGAGTTGGTTGGCACGTCACGCCGAAGACCCGGGTTCGATTCCCCACATGGGTACAATATGTAAAGCCTTTAGCTGGAATATTGCTAAAAGCGGCCTAAAACCACACTCACTCTATATTGTTTTGGCGATTATTTGTGTATATATTTAATTATGCATGTAATTTTATCATTTTGTAAATACATTTAAAAGGGACAGTAGGCATCTAACAGAATAAATAAAATAATAAGTCACAATTGGGTTTTGCGTGTATGGCAGGCATATGAAAACAAAATCTGACACGATAAAGTATTTAATTAAAGATGCTCTAATGACCAAGCTAATGAGTCATAAATGAAATTACATTTAATTATTTAGCATAAAGAAATAATCTCATTCCGGATGCTAGCAAATAGGGCCTATTGACTTTATCCAAGTCTGTTTGCATGTCCTATGGGGATAATACATTTAAATCTCGCGAGACTACTTGGCGTGCAGGTCACGTGTTTTCTCGCGAGATGCGCCGCCATATGACGAAAACAGGAGACAGGACGTGACAGAGTAATTGACTGCAATTGAAACGTTTTACCAAATGTGGGAATTCAAGGTCTCCGCTTGTTAATAAAGGTCGCCCGTGGAACGCATGGAGAATGGTGATTACTAATTGCAGTTATCGACTGGTATGGCAGACTGGGCGACATGACTGTCTTCCATGTTCAACACGGGATCAAGTAGCGTGGGGTACCATTTGAACGCTGAACTTTGTAGGCTAGTTCGTCATTGAATTAGAGCAATCGTTTTAAAGAAAAATTGCGTTGAAACATACTCCCACTCGAATGTCAAGATGTACCTAATCGAAATTAATTCCTGCTACTATTTTTTTCTTAACCAGAGCATTTTCAGTTCCATCGTATTCACCGAATTCATTCTACCCAAAAAAGCTCTTTTCCATTTCAAATATTAGACCCATGCGGATAGCGCACGTGTTATCATAATTCTCTGTAATTGGGGGCGGTGGGGTAGTGTAGCAGGTAAAGCGTTCGCTCCGGGTTCGATTCCCCACATGGGTACAATGTGTGAAGCCCATTTCTGGTATCCCCCGCCGTGATATTGCTGGAATATTGCTAAAAGCGGCGTAAAGCTACAACCTTACTCACTTAATCTCAGAATGTTATTCAACTTAGCATAAAAGTTGTTAAACAAACGATCATAGTTTCAAATCGCTATTATTGGTTTGTATTACAAGGGGGCACGCGCAGTAGTTGGAATAGTGAAACAAATGCACGTGCGGTGCGTTGACTTAGACTACCGTAGAAACCAACCCTTCTTGTTCTCTGTTTTCATTTAATGTGCATACCCCTGTAATACAAACCAATAATAGCTATTTGAAACTATGATCGTTTGTTAAACAACTTCTTTCCTCGGTTGAATAAAATTCTGAGATTTAAATGTTCAGTTGGCAAGGTAAAAGTATGAGGATTCCCAAACTTAATTTCACTTTATTTGATTTACTTTTCTGCTTAAAGTGAATTTCATCGGTACGTTTTCACTGCAAACAGACTATAAACAATGATCTTTAAAATATTTCAGCAAGATCAAAGTGTGTTCTATAGGTGGCATTTAGCTGCGACTTATGCAGTGTAGCGAGGACGATAATATTTCTTGCAACATTTCAGCGCAGCATATATTTACTTATATGCTGACATTTTGTCATTCTACACCAAAATGGTCTTACAAATGTAAAAGATAAATTAAATTAATCCAAACATTTGTGTCACTACTTAGTATATATCTTCGACGTCAGAGATTAACCAGTCTAAATTATGTGAGGAAACAAATTGAAATATGCCACATTATATGAGTGATTCCCTAAAAGTATTTATTACAACAGGTGTTCTTGAAAAGGGCAAATCATGGCATATCAGCTAACTGTTAGATGAGGGTAAAAATATACACGACCGTCCTCAAGCAGCACCCTAAAATCACATATAGAAGTTTACATCAGGGCTTTATTATTTGCATTCGGAACTGCTTGTTTAAGGTCGCTAACATAGATGCATAGGCGGATATGCTGATCAGAATCTTTGCTCACGCTAACCGAAAATTCAGAGGCCTTAACGCTGATTGGTTGATAAGAAATATCACTTTATGCGATTTATTATGGATTGGATTTCAGGTCCTCGCGTGGAGAAGTAAATTATCAGAGTTAAAGTTTGAATAGGGTTGCTTCAGGCAAAACTCGGACTGTGGATTCCCCTAAAGTTCATTTCGTAAGTGTTAAAAGTTCGGCAATCGGCACTATTGCATCCACAAGCTAATTATATAATACCATGAAAAGCACCGATGTGTACTTTCTTTTGTACTTCAGTTTAGTTCACAAAATTTACAAAAATGATCTTGTTTTTCAAGACAGAAAATATTCGTTTTTTCGTAACTAAATCACGAAGTCACTGGAACTTACATATGGGCCCAACTTCTTTCAGATTGTCGAATGCGCATGCGCCAGTTGTACCCAATGTTGCACATAACTGAAACACATAACAACATGACATATAGCAACCTGGAGTCAATTAAACAGAAACAACTTACTGGTGCTGTACAATTTTCAACATCACTTGATGTAATCGGTTGATGTTTTAGACCAGCGCTCGACAATGAGGACATGTCGCGTTCTCGAAATAATGGCGTCTGACAAACCAGTGGTTGGTAGTATGAGCATTCAGAAAGGACTGGGCTCTTCTATCGTTGTCTCATGACATTACTTACAAAGAAAGGGAGGACCCTTCGATGTCTGTTGTGTACTTAAAAGAATTGGATCCGCCGTTCAAAGAATGGGATTAATCTTTCGTCTCTGTACCTGTGGATATCTCACATCTATATGTACCTTACAAAGAAGGGGATTAATCCTTCGTCTCTGTCTATAACTCACATCTATTATGTACTTACAAAGAAGGGGAATAATCCTTCGTCTCTATCGATAACTCACATCTATTATGTACTTACAAAGAAGGGGAATAATCCTTCGTCTCTATCGATAACTCACATCTATGTGTACTTACAAAGAAGGGGATTAATCCTTCGTCTCTATCGATAACTCACATCTATGTGTACTTACAAAGAAGGGGATTAATCCTTCGTCTCTGTCCCTGTCGATTGCCTCTTGGAGAACATCACCCCGGAGACTGAGGTTGTCATCACTTGGCAAGAGCCTCATCTTCACCAAACCGATCAAACCTGCCTTCTCCACCGAAGAGTGTGCCTGTAAGTAGAAAATTGTCTCCCTTGATGATCGATGTACTTAAATGTGTATTACATTTACATTACATTAAATTCAATGTTATCCCCTAGTAATCCTTTAATTAAGTGGAAGGTTTGCATACATGTACATTTCACCTCCTATCGGGTACCCATTCACAACAGAAAACCAAATATCAAAAGATTTAATAAGTAACACTTTTGTAGTACAGTGGAATTTGTCAAATCCGGTTTTCTCCATGTATTTAGTTTTCTCCATACTTCCAAAGGAGCTGGAAATGCCACTTGATGGATCACCATCATCATCATCATCGTCATCATCATCATCATCATCAACAACAACATCATCAGCTGTTGAGACGTGTTCTGATGTGTAATATTTACTTTCTTGTATGTTCCCTAGGGAGTTGGGAATGCAATTTCATCATCTGTTTCCACCACGTCTAGGAGTCGTAAACATCCCATTCCCCTATTTAATGTTATTTTATTTATTATATTATTTTAATAATATTACTGAGCATTCCGTATAACTTTGAAAACAGAAAAAAACAGTGTTTTCTTTTCCATTGAACTTTTTGCATCCGTCTTGACTATCGCCATTTTTTTCGATGAGTTTAACACGATCGACTGTCGCCCCTCAATGAGTTGATAGATGAGGGGGTTTATTCCATGTTTGGAGCGGACTCTGAACCAGCGGGCATCCATCTTGTCTTCACCGGATGCCATGAATGAAGTCGCGACGCTGATTTGAGGGATTCAATTTCAAGCAAAGCTTACGCAGAAAACCTTCACTTCTGACTGGTTAGGTACAGAAATATCAAATTCAATCACAAGGCTTTTTTTTCGCCATCGAAATTCAATCACAAGGCTTTTTTTGTCGCTATCCGCGACTGGTGCAGGTTACGCTCTGATTGAACGTTATGATTGCATGCAAGGTTTGGCGGACGTCTATAAAACAGATCAAAGTATCCACGGCTCTGTTTAGACAGGGGGCAGATGTACATGGGCTCAACATGGATCCAATGTGTGAAGCCGAATTCTGGTGTTCCCTGTCATGATGTTACTGGAGTATTGCTAAAATCGTCGTAAAACCATATTCACTCAGTCTTCTCACGACTATATAACTTCACGAAGTCGTTGGTTCTTACACACAGAGAGCAATATATCATTTCCTAAAAGGAAAAATGGAAGGAATGCATTGCTGTTACCTAGAGCAAAGTCCTCAGTGCAAACACACAACTTTGACAACGTACATTAATCCAAAATCAACTGCAGTCCACACATTAGTTGCTAAATTAATCCCAGAAGCATTGCGCTGATTATGAATAAAATTCATCATCATTGGACAATGGGGCGATGGGGTAGCCCAGTGGTTAAAGCGTTCGCTCGTAACGCCGAAGACCCGGGTTCGATTCCCCACATGGGTACAATCTGTGAAGCCCATTTCTGGTGTTCCCCGCAGTGATACTGCTGGAATATTGCTAAAAGCGGCGTGAAAAATAAACTCACTCACTAACTCATTGTACAATATAAATCTCGCGTTCAGTGCGTAGATCGCTTGTGCGGTAATAAACGAATTTAAATGACTACCTAATTTTAACAAAGCTATTTTTGTATTTATGTTCCAATTAACCTAACAATATTTGTCTTCTCTGAAACAAACTTCTTTTGTGGACACCCGTGAAGGTGCGGGTAGAACTGGTCTTCAGCAACCTAGGTTTGTCGTGAGATCGGGTGGTCAGGCTCGCTGACTTGGTTGCCACATGTCAGCGTATCCCATTTGCGTGGATCGATGCTCATGATGTTGATCATTGGAATGTCTTTTTATCAAAGATTGATTATTTACATATCGCCGCCACATAGCTGAACTATTGCTGAGTGGCTTTATACAACAAACAAACAAATCTTTCGTAGATCTTAGGCTGATTGACATTTCCAAGTCATTTGTGTTGCTTTACAATGCTATTTTCAGTCTAAATTATCAAAAGGACTCTCTGTGAAGTTATTTTGTTAACTTACATATTTATCATAACTGTTCCGGGATTTACGCCAAGTGTACACATAAACACAACCAATATTGAATCTAGGTTTTAAACAGGTATCGGGTAAATAGCTGTGTTTATTTGTAATCCTGTACATGTGATTTGCCCATCCATATCAATCAAACAGTCTGGCTACCTGATCCGAACAATATCCAACGAGCCTTGCGTTGATTTCAGCTGGATCCCAGCCCTCTTCGTTGAACTTTCGGATCGCTTCGGATCTCGCGGCGAGGAGACACACAAATGTCGCATCACTTGCCGTGGTCTAGAATAAAATAACTGTATGTAATACGAAGTGAAACGCTGCAGGATGAAGATGATAGTTATCTGTAAAACACAATTAGTAAAATTTCCCCATGTTATTAATGATTACGTTATGTGCTTGCATCTTACTTTAGTGGACAGTGTTATTGGTCCAGTAAACAGAGCGTCTTTTGGGAGAGAGGAACGTCTTCGGTTCCGTCTGGCCCGTCATACCACCTAACTTAACCTCAAACCACCTCAGACCAACTCACATCACATCACCTCACTTCAAACCACCGATCATAACCGAACCTCAAACCACCTCACCGAACCTCGCCTGACATCACCTTATCTCACCGAACCGAACCTAACCTCACCTGACCACGCATCACCTCGACCACCTAACCTCACCTCGCCTCACCTCGCGCCACCTCACCTCACCTCACCTCGCCACGCCTGCACGCCACGCCTCGCGCCTCCTCACCTCACCGCACCGCACCGCACCGTACCGCACCGCACCTCGCCACGCCACGCCACTCCTGTTCTCACCTCAAACCAGTTCACCTACCTCACCTCACTCAAAAGCGTACCAGTCTTACATCACTGATATGTAAAGCAACCACGTGCTGTCATTCTCCTCAAAAACCGTGAAGATCCGGGTCAGAATTGATCTCCAGCAACCCATGCTCGTCGTAAGAGGCGACTAACGGGATCGGATAGACAGGCTGGCTGACTTGGTTGACACATGTCATCGTATCCCAATTGCGAAGATCGATGCTCATTATTTACAGACCGCCGCAATTCAGCTGGAATATTTCTGAGTGCGGCGTTAAAAAACAAACAAAATAAACATTCCCCTCGTTGTCAGATACGTCCCTATCTCAGCACAAAATAATTGAACCTGTTGGATAAGATGAGCTGCTAGAATTCGCACACATTATGTTTCTGAAGACGATTATAGAAGAAATATGAGTACATTTGTTACAAAAAGGTTTATTTCACTTAAATCGTTACGCAATGCTTTTATACTGCTCTCGCCTAGCTGGTAATTGAGTTCAATGTTTGACATTCAACTCCGAATTGCAGCTTTTGAACTATATATAAGTAATATTAAAACGAACGAAGGAAGCTTTCCCTTACAAATTAAATTTAAAAAGTCGACTCAATAACAGGAGACTAAAGGAAAATTAAAGATAATTTTCACAATGAAAGATTAAATAAATCCTGTTTCCGTCTCCTTTTCAAACAATAATTACCACACGAAGACATTATTTTGCACTAAAGCAATTAACGTTGCAACATGTAAGCACTCCTCCAAACGTTTTACGTTTCAATGAACTCACTTAAAATATAGTTCGAATGTGGCGTAAACAAGCGTAAGTTCTTCCTGTGTAAGGCTGTGAGGCTCTCACCTGTATCACTCCGCCACCCATGGTCTGTTCGTTGCTGTGAAGAAAATCGGTAGGTAGCTCTATCATCTTGCCTAGCCAGTCCATCACAATTGTCTCGAGCTCGGTACAAGCGGGGCTGGATGCCTGAGAAAACACGTACAGTCAAAGATACCACTGATGGTAGTGGGAGGTGGGGTAGCCTAGTGGTTACTTTAAAGCGTTCGCTCGTCACGTCGAAGACCTGGGTTCGATTCCCCACATGGGTACAATGTGTGAAGCCCATTTCTGGTGTCCCCCGCCGTGATGTTGCTGGAACATTGCTAAAGCTCACTCACTAATAATAGTTTGTTGTAACCATATTTCGTTATGCACATTTTACCCGTGAAGATCCGGGTTTAAATCTAAAATTGCCTCCATTACACATCATATCCCTCCAATAAGGATGGAATGGGAAGCCCGTATCTTTCGTTTATTGGCTACCTAGCTTCGTATATTGGCGACTTTATCGCGTGTATTGGCGCCCCACTTTCAAATACTGGCGCCCTATTACTGACCCGGTCCTAACGCTGAATCCAAACAGTAATACCCCCATTACTGAAATACAGAAACAATTATCATCCATTTATTTCTTGTCAAATGTCACTTTAGCATCATTACGTTCCACAACGAAGTGTACAGTTTTAGCACTGGAATTGCAGCAGTATAACGGGCGGGGGACACAACGCATGGGCTTTACACATTGTGCCTTTGCGGGGAATCGAACCCACGCCGCAGGCACTATAACCACTAGGTTACCTCACTTATTAATTACGTCTATGGGCGGTGAGGTAGCCTAGTGGTTAAAGTGCCTGTGGCGCGGGTTCGATTCCCCAGTCATCATAACCCACTGGCCGGCAGTCAAGTTGTACATACATTGCATACAGGCTGCACTGTAGTCGTCGTGGTTTTTTTTAAACAAACTATTGTTTTAAAAGATATGAATTTCATTTTTTTTTCAATTTTAAGTAATGACCATATTATTCACTCACCTCAATGACATGTACTTTTGGTCAAGTCTATATAGACAACGGCCCATTCAAATAAAATGAGGTTTCAAGCAATTTTCTCCGGGGTGTCATACCAGACTCCCTCAATGCATCCTCCTCCTGTGGTGTTATGACTTTAGCTTTCCTAGCCTTCTACGGATGCCGGTGATTACAGACTGTGCCAGTGATTACATTTTAACGTCTAAAATGGTTCTTAAACCCCTAAAAGCAAAGTCGGTGGTTAGGTTAACATCTCGACCACTTTGGCGCAAGAATCTCTCGTCGAAATAAGAATCTCGTGAACCATGTTGCCCTTGTTGACCTCCCTTTTCGTTCCTTACCCGTGAAGGTCCGGGTTAGTATATTGGCCTTCAGTAACCCATGCTTGTTGTAAGAGGCGACTAACGTGATCGGGTGGTCAGGCTCGCTGACTTGGTTGACAAATGTCATCGGTTCCCAATTACGCAGATCGATGCTCATGCTGTTGATCACTGGATTGTCAAGTCCAGACGCGATTATTTACAGACCGCCGCCATATAGCTGGAATATTTCTTAGTGCGGCGTAAAACTAAACTCCTTTGGTTCCTTACTGCTGTGACAAACACTCAGCGTCCTATTCAGATCTTCATCAGAAATACTTAATAATCTGCTGCCTAACTGGGATTCAAACCCATCCCGTTCACGTTGCCAGGAATCGAAAACCCGCACTGCCCACTGCTTTTCTTTTCTGTATTTTTATTTTTTGCGAGATTTTCCAAGCTTTGATATTCAGAAACTGAGAGAGAGTTGCCAAAACGTCTGGTAGTTGTTTGTTCACTTTCTTTTTCTATCTGCTGAGAAGCAAGCATCAGTTCATCATCTGCTGAACTATTCATTTGGTCAAATTCCCGTTCAGCAGTTCCTCATCCGAAGAACTATTCCCAACTGTATCTACATGATTTCTGTCTCCTTGCAGAGTGATATCAAAATTGACACTCGAAATACTTCCAATCAATTGCTTCGGAAAATGTATTAACTTTGAGTGACAAAGACATCGCATTAAGAACCCCATTCGCCTGACATGATTAGAACATCTGGTGAAATGGATGCAGTAAAATATTTCGTTTGTTTTGTACCCCTCAAATACGCTGCCACGTGCACAGTAGAGCGTATTCATAGCGTGTGTATCGTGCATACCGTGCTACCCAGATGAAGGACGCCAATATTAATATTGCTGTGTTCGGGTGCAAGAGTTACGAAACTAGGGCGCCAATATGTATGATTTTAGGTTTAAGCGCAATAAACTCCTCAGACTCGCCAATATTCGCGCGGCTGGGTGGGTCCTCGGCCTAACGGCCGAATATTGGCGAGTCTTCGGAGTTTATTCCTTACTTAAATTGATCTTCAGTAACCCATGCTTGTCGTAAGAGGCGACTAACGGGATCGGGTGGTCAGGCTTGCTGACTTGGTTGATACATGTCATTGGTTCCCAATTGCGTAGATCGCTGCTCATGCTGTTGATCACTGGATTGTTTGGTCCAGACTCGATTATTTACAGACCGCCGCCATATAGCTGGAATATTGCTGAGTGCGGCATAAAACTAAACTCACTCGCCCACTCACTCAATCTAAAACACACAGCAGGAGATCGACACAGTTCTTTGTATCCGTCAGTTCATTATGAGCTTGTTTGCCATAAACTTAGTCTACTGTAGTTAAATACCATTTGCTTCCTGATATTTCCATAATCGTAACTGCAATGCTTTTCCAAAATATCTGACTTGGATAGATGCGCAGCCTTCACTGTAACATTACATTGGCCAACTTAAATCACATATGACGTCACGAGAGTAAATGGTCACGTGTGTCCAAGGACTTGCTTCCGGAATACGCATAACGGGCGGAGTTGAGATATCAGAAACTGTTTTCGCAATGAAAATATAAATAATAACACTTTTGTTTTACAAATTGAGCTACATGTTTCTGATGACTTTAACCCAGTCAGTTATTGCAGGATCCGGGTTAGAATTGGTCTTCAGTAACCCATGCTTGTCGTATGAGGCGACTAACGGGATCGGGTCATCAGGCTGGCTGACTTGGTTGACACATGTCATCGTATCCCAATTGCGTAGATCTATGCTCATGCTGTTGATCACTGGATTGTCTGGTCCAGACCCGATTATTTACCGGCCGCCGCCATATAGCTGGAATATGCGGTGTAAAGCTAAATTCAATCACTCACTCACTTACTCACTATTGCAATTTTCAAGTATTCCCCTTTAAATAGATCAGTGTGCGTTGGAATTTCAGTCTCCGCTCCCTGAGGATAATACAACCTAAATGGATGCCCCGAAAAAGCATCCAAGTCCTACTCTGCAGGTATGGAGCTCTCCTTGTCCCAGGTCCTATAAAATATATCTGAAGCACCCATGTCCTGTGACAGACACTCGTCCCCTTCATGGCCTATATTTTACGCATGGAGCTCCCCAATTCGTTCTTGTGAAAAAAAGAAAAAGGTCTCAGTAAAACGTTTGCCACAGTAAAATGTCATTAATAGTCTTCTATAAGGAAATCCATACATACCCATGTGAAACCGAGGCATCCTATTGCGTCAGCAAGCATGTCGCCAAGCAACGACGGGAAGGAATTCAGGGCGGGAAAGTATGCGTGCATGTGCGGACTTTGCCAATGAGTTATCTGCAATAAAAATATTGTTTATTACATTTCTCTTGCTGCCATTTAAGTGTTCTATTTTGCAACAAGCGATTACAGTCAAACAGCACTAACCCCTTCCCAAAACCTGTTATCAGCTTTCTACAGATGACCATTTTTTTCCATCTTTCTGACCGAAATGTCTCCATGTAGGAATTGCGGTGTTCTTCTGGAACAAATCTGACAGATTGTTCTGAAAGTATGACAAATCGTGACTCAACTGAAAAATATGTTTTAAAAAATATAATTGGTTTCAACGAAGCGTAGTGGACATTCTCAATCTTTCTTTTCATCATAACTTGGGTATTTTTTTTTTTTAAATCGCATTTATCAGACTTAAATAGATTCATAATTCACTTAAAGTTCTTCCACCCAGAACATAAATGGGTATTAAGATACAGATTTGCAGTAATACGTCCCTGTATATGCCGTGCAGCGCGCTGCGTTATTTGCGCGCCATCTTCTTCGCATAATAATCATCATTATGATCACGTTGCAGTTATTAGTTTAATCAAGGGATTGCGCTATAAAATACCTCATAATATGAATGCTATTATTTGTGTCTTTTAAGAAAGTGATTTAACAAAAGTTATATGACACATTTACGGTGCATTTCGACTCTGAAGCTGCAGAGGAGTTGATTGGGATCCTGCGGCTGTGGACAGGCTCATTGTGATGTCGGTTGTGTGAGTGCGAGTTTGGTTGAAATTTCATTTCGAACAGTATTCCGAAATGATGTCTCAGCTTGAAGTGAGTGAGTGAGTTTAGTTTTACGCCGCACTCAGCAATATTCCAGCTATATGGCGGCGGTCTGTAAATAATCGAGTCTAGACCAGACAATCCAGTGATCAACCATATGAGCATCGATCTACGCAATTTGGGAACCGATGACATGTGTCAACCAAGTCTGACCATCCGATCCCGTTAGTCGCCTCTTGCAAGCATGGGTTACTGAAGATCAATTCTAACCCGGATCTTCACGGGTCGTCAGCTTGATGTGGGAGTATAAGTTTGGGGCGTTTACCATTTTGGTCAAAAGACTTTGCAAGTACGGTACTGAAAAACCAAAAATCGCCTGATATTCGAACCCGTGGGCATTGGATCATGTACGACTAAGAAACGTAATTATGTACATTGACGTACCATCCTTTTGAGTGAGTACGGTTTTACGCCGCTGTTATAAATACAAAATATGGTACATAACAGAACCTGACACAGACATCGTCATCAGGTCCAGCTACGGCTGTTATGGCTTCCAGCTTCACCCAAGACGGCGGTGGGTTAGTCTAGTGGTTAAACCGTCCGCTCGTCACGCCGGAGACCCGGGTTCGATTCCCCACATGGGTACAATGTTTAAAGCCCTATTTCTGGTGTCCCCAGCCGTGATATTGCTGGTATATTGCTTTAAAACGGCGTAAAACCACACTCACTCACTTCCGATGGCCTCGTTTATAGAGGGAAGTACTCAATGATGAATTGCTAGGTTCCTCAGATTCCCGACAAAAGAGTCTTTACGCTCCATATTTTGATTTGGTTGTTTTTTGTTTCCCAAGTAATTTTTGTTTTTTAATGATTACATATTTCACCTGTGTCAGTTGGTTGGGGAGACCAATTTAGTGATATCTTATTTCACAGTCGCTGTGCCTTCCTATTGAATATTTTTTTACATTTAGGACTATTGATTAATGGATGGTTAAAAGTCATCAAGTGAATCTGGTGTGTGGTTGCTTTGACAGGCGATAAAAACTGAAACGCGGGGGACGTTTTATCCTTGTATCTTGTATGAGGTATCTGGTGAGTGACTGACTGACTGAGTTTGGTTTTACGCCGCTTTTAACAATATTCCAGCAATATCACGGCGGGGGACACCAGAAATGGGTTTCACATATTGTACTCATGTGGGGATTCGAACCCGGGTCTTCGGCGTGACGAGCAAACACTTTAACCACTAGGCAACCCCATCGCCCCTATCTGGTGAGTGAGTGAGTGAGTTTAGTGTTACGCCGCTTTTAGCCGATTTCAAGCAATATCACGGCGGGAACGCCAGATATGGGCTTCACACATCTGGGAAATCGAACCCGAGTCTTCTTCGTGAGGAGCAAACGCTTTAACCACTAGACTACCCCACCGCCCCTTGTTATTTGAAGTGTTACACATAAACTCATTTCATTTCAAGACAACGCTAAAGAACGTGTTCCTATCAGGAGGACCCGTATAGATCCGGGTTAGAATTGGTCTTCAGTAACCCATGCTTGTCGTAAAAGGCGACTAACGGGATCGGGTGGTCAGGTTTGCTGACTTGGTTGACACATGTCATCGGTTCCCAACTGTGTAGATCGCTGCTCATGCTGTTGGTCACTGGGTTGTCTGGTCCAGACTAGATAATTTACAGACCACCGCCATTTAGCTGGAATATTGCTGAGTGCGGCGTTAAACAACAAACAAACAGGAGAACGACTCGCCTGTGAATTAGAGACAACTCACCAACTGGTATCAACTGATTTAATCTGGTATACAAAAAATAAATAACGAGTGAATATAATTCCTTCAAAAAGTATGTAACACGTTCGATCAATAAGATTTAATTCTGTTTATTTTTAATGATTTTATGGGTTTGAAACATTGGCATTGCAATGTAAATCAATATCTAACGGAACCTTCGAGCTGAGTTGGGTAGGGTGTGTTTGTAATGATGGGTGTTCCTACAAGAATGTTTATCTAAAACTCCCAATGACATCACAACTGATTTTATATTTACAAAACATAACGCCTGTCTCTTTAGCCTCCCAAACAAATTTCACAATTGTCAATATTTGTAAATGACAGGTGTTCCTACACCGATGTTTTATCTAAAAGTTCCATTCACATCACAATTCATTCTTCTTTACAAAACATGACGCCCGTCTCTTCAACCTCCCAAACAAATTTCACAAAAAAAACATAATCTCAGATTTACCTCGTTTGCAGACTAACCACTCGTGATCCATAAACAAGGTTACGCGAAAACATCAAACCGCTTCATCGATTTATCAAACGCTGATTTTCCAACAAAGATTTAAGCTAAAATAGCATATCATATCGAGAAAAAAGGGACTACATCTTATTAGCCTGAGTCTGACAAGGTAACATGATTGAGCGTAGGAATACG